GGAAAGTGTTCGTGTTTACCCCCCCGGAAAGTGTAATGCTCTAGATCTAGTCTGTCCTGCTTAAAATCAGTGTTTCAGCTTTGACTTGCCTGAAATGTGAGTGGAGGCCTATTACTTGGTGTAGAGAAGAGAGAATCTGGGTTTGCAACAGTATTTTCTTTCCTCACTAATGTGAGAGGATATTTGTATCCTAAAGAAACAATCCCAGTGCACACAGGGCAATAATTGAAATGTAAATTTCAAATAAACTCATCCGTTTGTAAATAAACTGAGGGCCCGCTACCTTTGCTTTTAAGATTCTTCCTCTTCTTTGTTATCCACTCAAAGCGCAGTAATTATGATTATTCCTGGCACACTGTCCTCAGTACGGGGGTATTTGTATTCTCCCAGGTGTACCCTATGGAACCTCTCCAGCAAACAATGACTACAGCAAAGCAGGAAATACATAAACCTGACTAGTGCCTGGGCCTTGAGCCTGGGAGGGGGCTCATTCCATCCCAAAGAGAGAGGTCCTCTGATAGGAGCTTGCTTGATGCTGTTATATCGGACTATATTGTGAATGTCTCTTTGCAGTATCTCTTTGAAAATGGACGAGTAGATGACATTTTCTCGGATCTCTATTATATACGGTTTACCGAGTGGTTACATGAAGTTCTCAAGGATGTACAGCCCCGGGTCACCCCTCTTGGTAAGAGCTTTTTCTCTGCTTTAGGAAGAGGCCTCTCAGACATGGTGGGGTAGGGGTGGGATGCAAGAGAGCTTTAAGCTTGCTGGTGTCATCTTTCTGAAAGCTGAGACTAGAAACGGATCTGAAGAAGCACTTGAGCAGAGGAACATCCCTTAACTTTCACTGAGCTGGGGAGGGAAGTTCTCCAGAGCCTGCAATAAGTACAAATATTTCAGAGGGTTTTGTGCACCAGACTCCAGTCCTGACTTCTGTTTTAAGGGTTTAGTTAGGCTTGATTCTGTGCACCATTTAACTTACTCTCTAAGGGGTTCTGAGAACTTGTTAATCTTTAGGACGTCAGGAGTGTGGAGTTGATGCCCCTTCTAAGGAATGCATGAGTTGTTGAGCAGAGATGGATTCATAAATGGCAGATGAAATTCAGTGTTGATAAATGCAAAGTAATGCACATTGGAAAACAGAATCCCAACTATCCATATAAAATGATGGGGTCTAAATTAGCTGTTATCACTCCGGAGAGAGATCTTGGAGTCATTGTGGATAGTTCTCTGAAAATATCCACTCAGTGTGCAGTGGCAGACAAAAAAGCGAACAATGTTGGGAATCATTACGAAAGGGATAGATAATAAGACAGAATATATCATATTGCCGCTATATAAATCCTTGGTACGCCCATGTCTTGAATACTGTGTGCAGATGTGGTTGCCCCATCTCAAAAAAGAGATATTGGAATTGCAAAATGTTCAGAAAAGGGCGACAGAAATGATTAGGGATATGGAACAGCTTCCATATGAGGAGAGTTTAATAAGATTGGGACTTTTCATCTTGGAAAAGGGACGACTAAGGGGGAATAATATAGAGGTCCGTAAAATCATGACTGGTGTGGAGAAAGTAAATAAGGAAGTGTTATTTACTCCTTCTCATAACACAAGAACTAGGGGTCACCAAAGGAAATTAATAGGCAGCGGGTTTAAAACAAACAAAAGGAAGTATTTCTTCACACAATGCACAGTTAACCTGTGGAACTCCTCGCCAGAGGATGTTGTGAAGGCCAAGATTATAACAGGGTTCAAAAAAGAACTAGAGAAGTTCATGGAGGATAGGACCATCAATGGCTATTAGCCAGGATGGGCAGGGATGGTGTCCCTAGCCTCTGTTTGCCAGAAACTGGGAATGGGTGACGGGATGGATGACCGGATGACTTCCTGTTCTGTTCATTCCCTCTGGGGCACCTGGCATTGGCCTCTGTCAAAAGACAGGATACTGGACTAAATGGACCCTTGGTCTGACCCAGTATGGCCATTATGTTCTTATACTACCTCCTAGTGGCTTACCCTTGGTGTCCATGAGGCAAGCGATCTGATTTGAATTGCAGTGCATTTTGATTTTAGTGTTCTGTGCCACTGATGAGCGACTAGAGCAGCTTCAAGTGATAAAACCAGAGATTTTTTTGGGGGGAGGGATAGCTCAGTGGTTTGAGCATTGGCCTGCTAAACCCAGGGTTGTGAGTTCAATCCTTGAGGGGGCCACTTAGGGAGCTGGGGCAAAAATCTGTCTGGGGATTAGTCCTGCTTTGAGCAGGGGGTTGGACTAGATGACCTCCTGAGGTCCCTTCTAACCCTGATATTCTAAGAGATTTGCCCTAAGGCGTGGCTTGTTCTGAACTTAGTGTATTTTGGAATCCATTTGTGGGTGGTTTTAGGCGGAGTCTTGGAGATGTTGCAGCCAAAAACTTCTGAACGTTAAACCCTTCATTCAGAGTAGGGTCGGGATGTCTGTGTGGGCTTCACTCTGTACATGTGAGTGTCCAATAAAGGAACAGACCTTGCATGAACAAGTTATGCTATTGCTGCCGTAGGGAAGGTTACACCTACTCGGATGAGAACTAAAGAATCACATTTTCAGGGTACAGAAATCTTTCTTCAGATTTTTATTGCCCTTGCTCTTAGTTTGGTCTGATCATCTGTCAATCCATCTTACATTTGTGTTCAGATACTTCTGCTTAAGTAGTGTGGTGGGTTTCAGATCCTTTTTTTCCCTCTGCCTGTTTGATTTATGCTTTGTTCTCTGTGCCATTGCATGAGCTCTAGGGTTCATACTGTTTGTTGTATTGCTGTGTATCTAGGTGTTTGGAGTGTAGAATTACTCTTCTGCACAAAGGAAAATCAAGAGTACACATATCCAAATAGTGTGTTTGACCCTGTACGTTGACTGAAGATGCACATAGGGCCAACCGCTCAATTTGTTCCATTCCATTAGCTTGCTCATTCTTGCTTATTAAAGGTTGATATCAAAATGAGCAACTGTGAAATGGGAGAATTAATCTGTCGTCCCTTCCCCAAGGAATCTTTTTCTAGTGTGTATCCCTGGAAGTGCCTCTTGTGTTCATATTGTAACTACCTCAGTGGGTGATGCTGACTTCTGATTGTTGCAGGTTATGTCCTCCCCAGCCACGTAACAGAAGAGATGCTGTGGGAGTGCAAGCAGCTGGGAGCTCACTCTCCTTCCACCTTGCTCACTACACTGATGTTTTTTAACACCAAGTAAGTATTTGAGATCATTGATTTAATGGCCAAGGAACTTACAGCATCCTTGACAGGACTGACAGGAAACTGCATTGGATTAAGATGTGGTCACTGCTTTTTAATGGTTAGGGACATGGGAGCAAATCCCAGAGCAGTCCCTTTATACAAGAAATTCTATGCAGCAAAACAAGGAAGTGAACTAACAAAGAGAAACCTAGACTTGCATCTGCCTTTTCTTGTGTTATGCTGCTCAGAATACCACCTGACTTTCAGATGCTGGTTTGAACCCTGGCTGGCTCATAGCGAGTAAAGATCGCCGCTTCACTGTCAGATGAGAGGCTAAGTAAGGCTTTGTTTGCCCCATAAATGTCCTGTGTCCTATTCTCACTGTTCAGGTACTTCCTGTTGAAAACGGTAGACCAGCATATGAAGTTGGCCTTCTCCAAGGTCTTGAGGCAGACCAAGAAGAACCCTTCCAATCCCAAGGATAAGAGCACGAGTATCCGGTACCTGAAGGCACTTGGCATACACCAGACAGGCCAGAAAGGTAGAGTGTACATGAGGAGAGGAGAAGCCTTCTTGAGAATGTCTCGGATTGATGGACCTGGTCTGTACTAGTCTTATAAAAAGACTTGCAGGTGCCTTCAGGTGGGGTGCAAGAAACCAATGTCTTTGAAAAAAGATCCTCCCCCAGTAGCTTGGTGATCAGAGATAAAGCACGTCTGTGTGTTTCGTGAGAGCATGATGCCTTCTGACATAGGGTTGAGTGGCTGGTAGCTGATATTTATCTGAGGCACACCGGCCTCCCATCGGAAGAGTTGGGGATTAGTTTCCAGTCTCGTTCTCTCAGGCAGAGGCACTGTTCTGATGCAAGGGCCTCTGAGCAAGGAGAGGAATATGAGTGGAGCTTGTTCTCTTCTCTCAATGGAAGCACTTGACTCCTGGGAACATTCATGGAGTTTAGAGGTAGAATATGGCCTGTTGACCTAAGCTTCCACTGGCTCAGGTACTGGCATTTCATTTAACCAGACTTCCTGCCTTTCAGGGGTTGTAGCTAGATGGCGGGTTAATGAGTGGGTCTTGGTGATAAAGCAGATAGCCAGAAGCAATACCTGGAGGTTCCTGGCTGATAACAAGGGAGCTGTGCTTTGGGGCAGTGGTCTGACTCCTTTTACCTTTCCTGCAGCTGGTAACTCATGAGATGACGTATGATGACATAGGATTTGCAAACATTGAGGCTGCTTGACATTGCTTATTTTATTATCTACTATTGTTCTACTACAAACAGTTTCCTGTACTCAGTTTGACACACTGTGGTTTTTTTGGGGGGGTTGGTTTGCAGTTACAGATGACATGTATGCAGAGCAGACTGAGAATCCAGAGAACCCCCTGCGGTGCCCCATAAAGCTCTATGACTTCTACCTCTTCAAATGGTGAGAGCTCCTGTCACGTGGGGTTGCTTATCTTCTATAAATGTGTACCTAGATTGCATTTTATAGCTGCAGAAAGATAGCTAACTTTGTCTTTGGGACGGTATTTCTCTCTCCGTACTATCGGTATAGTTTGTATGTTAAATACATTAACTATGTAGGGGACTTCAATAGGAGGTGCATGCCCAAAGTAGAGGGTAAACTTTGGTCCAGAGTTGCATTAATTTTTTTTTTTTTTACTAAAATCCTGTTTTGCTCACTATTTGAAGGGGCTAAATCATGAAGTGTGAATTGTAAGTGTTTATCCCAGGGTTTACTTGTGATAGACATCAGAGCGGTTGAGCTTGTGCAGTGGCCCCTTAGCCCACAGGTGCACTGACAGCACATCTGATGGAAGTGCCCTCTGCTTTGGATGAGATGTTGGAGAGAGCCAGGTGGTGGCAGCCACAAAAATGGAAGTGTGTTTTGAATATTAGACGAGAGAGGTCTTAGTAGCTGAATTTGTGTACACTTCCCTCCTTCGTGGACAGCACCACAACTAGCTTTACTGAAGTGAAAATGGAGTCTGAGAAGAAAACTGACTCTTAAAAGGCTAAATGGTAACCTTTGGTACCCGAGTGAAAGGAGTTTAATCTTTCCTAGTGAATATAGGTCCACTATATAGCTGGGGAGGAGGGGCTCTTTGTTGTTAGCCTTGACTTAGTCCAGTGGCTGAATGAGTCATTAAGACAGAACTCCCCTCTTTCTCCTAGAGGAGAACTGTCTAGGGCTGGGTGGGACCCATTGGTAGGAGAAGCTTGTCCTACCATTGCCCATAATTGTACCTGTGTTTCCATGGCTTTTCTAGTCTTGCACCTTTCATCAGCCCAACATTCACTGTAAGGATTCTTAAAGCCCCAGGGGGAATAGGGTGAGGTTACCTGTTCCAGGACATGTTACTAGCGTGCCTGTTTCTGATTTTGTTTCCCCCCTTGCAGCCCCCAGAGTGTGAAAGGCCGGAATGACACATTTTACTTAACTCCGGAGCCGGTGGTAGCCCCCAACAGCCCGATCTGGTATTCCATCCAGCCAATCAGCAGAGAGCAGATGGAGCAGATGCTCACTCGGATCCTGGTGATACGAGAGATTCAGGAAGCTATTGCTGTGGCTAATGCCAGCACCATGCACTAAGGCACCCTGCCCAGCTCCGAAGGGGGTGGGGTGGTGGGGGGATGACGAGCAAGGATAAATTGTACAGACTTTTACACTAAAGGAGATGCCTACGTTTTGTTTTTTATTGGTGTAGTTATGAAGCCCTTTTAGGCTTCTTCTGTTTAAAAGAATCTAAAAGGAAAACCTACCCATTGTGTATCCTACCAAACACACTGAGCTGTTAGAACCATTGGAGGCTGCATTTCTCTGCCAGCTCAGAGCTGTTGAAACTGCTGGTTGACTTTGGTTTTTTATGATGTAGAAAACAGAACATGAGCTATGGGATTGGCCTGGATGGCTGGGGCCTCTGATGCCTCCTCAGAGCACGTGCAGCCTGGAGAGCGCAGAATGATGGATGGACCTGCTCAGCCAGCCAAGGAGAGGCAGGTGTCTCTCCTTTGTGCTCAGACATTAATTTGCTGTTGTCCTGGAAGAAGAAGAAGGAGGAGGAGAGTGAACTGCAATTATGATTTCTAAAAAACAATTTCTATTCAGACCTTTAAGTGACATTTTTAGATGTTAAAAGTAAAAAAAACAAAAACAAAAAAAACAACTTTACCACACTTTTTTTTTTGGCCTGACATTGAGGCCTTAAACCTTGAGGCTCCTGTGCCTGCTGGAGTTCTTGTACCATACACTTGTGTATCATATAAAGATACCGCCCTGTTTCTCTTATGTATTCTTACTCTAGTTGTTTATTAAGAATGACGAGCACGTCTTTTCAACATGCCATTGAACAGTGTGTCTTTATTTGGGGAAGAGCGCAAGAGCTGCAAGAGGGAGCATTTTAAAAAGATCAGTGTAATTGGGTTGTTCTCATCCCCCCACATATGCTTTTCAGTGTGATTTTCCCCTGGACCCTTTTTCTCTTTCCCACCCCTCCAAACTTTGAAGGTCTGAAGGAATTCACTCCTGTTAGGATGTCCAGGTCCTTCTTTATTGTTGCACATTGGGTCAGCTTTTTTCTTCAGTGTAATAACTTACCGTTGAGAGAAACCAGTTTGCTGATAGAACTTCGTGTCCAGCTAGGAACGAGGGATTTGCTGTTGCACCAGATCAGCTTATTGGTCCATTCAGACCAGTGTCCTGTCTGCAGCAGAGGCCAGTGTGTGGGGCTTCAGGCACAGGCAATACCTGCCCCCAGCCTCCGCCCCAAAGCACCTGACCAGTGGCTAGAGGGTTAGGGGAGAAAATGCTTTTCAGGCTGTTTGGATGGCTGGCTCGCATATCGGTATCATAGTTGTATAGTTTCAAGAGTTGTCAGGGGTTGTAATTCTTTTTTAAATCAGACCCATGGCACTTGCCTCACTGCATCTTCAATGGCTGCTGTATTTTGACAACATAACATTTCTGGTGGCTTCCGAAGAGAACAGATTGTCCGCTGTGCTTGAAATCGGAGCCCACGCTAGCGAGGCTTGAGGTTATTGAGCTACCAGCTTCTTGGACATGAGGAGGTGACGCTTCTTGAATCTGCCTTCTCCTCTTCTCCCTCTATTGCAGTCCTGTAATTGGAAGCTCCTCCATTACTGTACGAGAGAGTCTTGAGGCTTCCATTTGTCACCTCCCTATTTACATTTGCAAGCAGGATGTGTCCTCCCTCTGATCTGTACATGTGCACCAAGGATAGACTCTGCCCCTAAATCAGGACTGTCCCTAATGTTACCTGCCCGTGTGCCATCCTGTTTGATGTGGAGGCGTGTCCAGTGAAGACTTCTGGTCCTAGCATGTGATACTTGGGCTTGGTGGAAAGCTTCTTGTGTCAAACCGTTAGAATGCAGATATGCCGGAGTATGAACATGAGGAGGGATTGGCCCCTGAAGAGAACTTTTCGAAGCATAACTTGGTAAGAAATGTTTGGGTTACTACTGCAGGAAGTCGTGCATCCCCTGTGCGGTGGGTTTGATGCTCCCTTGCTCCCTCTGTTCCTTACCGACATCAACACCCAGAGTGGTGAGCTAAGCAAAGTCCCACCTCAACGACTGCTGGCAGTATCTGGCTGATACTCTAGTCTCTGTGGGGCAGGAAAAGAGAATGGGGACAGGTGGAGTGTAAAGCTGCCATCATCCCCTCAGCTAAGTGCAGCAATCGGGATTATCAGCAGCACTTTTCCTCTGGCAGGGAAGTGTCAGTGTTGGCTATTATCCGATGCCATAACCTTGTCACTGTGTTCCAATGACCGCAGTATTCTCCAAGCGCCAGTTCGATTATTCAAGGATATAGTTATGGGCTAGGTAGCCATTGCTGTGCTCAGGGGAGCAGAGATGCATGCGTATTGTGCTAAGGGTGTCCGGGCCTGCATGGAGCTAAACTCTAGATCACTTGGGTAAACAGCTGCCCTGAATGTTGGATTTGAGAGGGGAGCATCCCGCCTTCTGCTCAGAGAGCAAGTGACCCTGAGAAATAAGCATGTGCAGGCTAAACACCCATCCTCAAGTCACTGTGCCCTGGAATGCCGCATAGGAGCCTAAATCCAGCCTTCCCAGAGGTCGGAGTGGGCCCATCCACTGTTAATTAAATCCGAGCGCAATATGAAAATGGAAGCTGACTGGCTGTTCTTTCCTCCGCCAAGTACTAAGTGGATGGAAAGGTTTGATATATGGCTTCACATAACATTTTTGTGTAAGTATAAACTTGCCAGAGCTTGAAACAATTTGGCAGACAGACAAGACCCAGCAATGGAATAACAAGGGATGTTGCAGGTTTGGATTGAGTTGAGGTACACTGGCAGAGCTGTGTGGTGAAGCTGTATGCCATGTTGCTTAAAAATATACTTGATTCTCCTGTATTTATTGCTGTTCACTTGCTACTGTAAAGAGCAAATGAATCAAAAAATGTAACTGGTGGAGAGTCAAGTAATTCTTTAGGGTCTCCACTCAGCCTGGAGAAGCACAACTCACTTGAACAGTATTGGGAGTTTAGCAGGCACAGAGGGCCACATAAACCTCTAAATCTTTATTGGGTTTGCCCTAGCAAACACTGAGGATTTTCCATCCCTGGCCTGTCTTTTTGCTTTCTCCTGTGTATGGAAGATGAAGGTGTTGACTTGAAGATGTACAGTGTTCTGTACTGTCTGGTATCAAAATGTCTGATACCAGTTTCATTTCTTAAACTATCCAATATACTATGCTTTACAGATGACTTCACAGAACTTGTTTCATAGAGCTGTGCAGACTGAAACAAGTTTAAAATGTCTGCAATATTTCTGGAGTTTAAACCCTGTACGCTCTGATAGTGAAGAGTGATCCGACCCTTCCTTTCTAGAAAGGTCACCCTAAAGCCTTATTTGTAAGGACTCCTGGAAGGAACTCTACCCAGATTAGACAACAGCGCTCTGTTGGCCTAAGGTCTTACCCAGGTCATTGGCAAATCTGCTCCTGGTTAAATAATGTAAAATAGCTCTCTTTAGCACGGTCTTCTATATCCAGTTTGTTTCCACTCCCTGCTTGAGTTTCAGTGATGGACATGCCACCTAACACCTCTTGAGTACCAAACACCTTGCTGTTGTACATATTTAACCCAGAATGTACTCCCTTCCTGTGCCTTGTATGTGCCACTGATACAGGGTTAGCCTTGTCTGTTCTGTCTCAGCTTGGTTAGTTATTTAGTCTGAGGCCCCCCCTGCATTGTTTGTTTTTTAATTGTTCTATGCCAATTTGTCTCCACAGAAAGTGTAGCATGATTGAACATGGCGGCTTTGTGAAGCTTCTTGTGTTCTAACCTCTGACCTCCATGTATTGTCCTGTGTCTCATGAAATTGCAATATAACTGCTCTCCTACAGGAAACTTATAGTCTGTTACATAGACTTGGTGTCCACTGTGCTATCATGTCCATATTTCCTTTTTTTGGAGGTGGTCACTACTGTAAAATTGGAATGACCAAAGCAGTGGAGGACAGCCTGTGGAAAACAATCATCCCTTGGCCCCTTACTGCAGGGGGAGGGAGGAAGAGGACAGTCTAAATGTAACTTAATATAGTTCATTTTCTAACTTCTTGATTCCTAGACTCTCGAGTTTCTGGGAGGAGGTAATCTCCTGTATGTCTGAAGTGGTTTCCAAAGCATGCTGCCTTGGCCTGATTCGTTGTGGGAGCTAGAACTTCCATTTTAGGATCCAGAACCTGAAAGTGACTCTAAACAGGAGTCCTCCCTTGCACTGATCCTCACCGGGTGGAAATGAGACACATTGGTCTGACCTAGGAGAGAACAAGTCCATTTGCCTGGTCAACTTAGAATTGAACAAAAGCTGTGTCCACCACCCCAAGTTCTCTTGATCAGTTGCCAAATAAAAGAAAGGTGACAGTGGCTGAAAAGAGCCCTTTTCTGTCTGTATGGGACAGAGGGTTTTACTGCTACTTTTCTGTTTGCTGGACTGTCTGAGGGGTTGCATGATGGCTGTAACCTATTTAATAATGAAATGGTTAATCTTAACGGTCTGACTCTTACATCACTGTTAAAATGGGATAGAAACTGCTACAGCCTCTGATATGGGGCCCTTCTCCCAGCCGCGCATCCCGAGCTGCTAGGTTCCAATACCAGCCTACGGAGAGATTTTTTTCCTTCCCCAGATATTTTAAGGAATGCACCTTGCCCTGTCACTTCAGCCTGTTCCGTTTCCTTGGAGTCAATGTATAGAAAACATCCAAGCTATTGCTGACAACACTAACAAGCATCTTCCGACTGTAAGGAGCATCTCAAACCCTCTTCCAGGAGAGAATTGTTAATGTGCTGGGGGTGGGGGATATTAAGCTGCCCAAAGACGTGATGCAATGGCTGTGGCACTCTGCCTGCCAATCCCTTCCTCCAGTGTGGCTCTGCCACAGCTCTCAGCACTGCAGTAGACCTTTTTTGCCCAGATGCCCTGTGCGCAGCCCCCAAGTTTCCAGTTGCCTGCTTCCATCTGTTCTTGCTACTGAGTTAATCAGGAGGGTTAGGGCAGGACTGAGTCCAGCATAAAGCAGGAATAAATTGGGTCTTGGTCTCTAATGAGGGAATGTAAGAAAAGAACACGGGTGGGTAGGGGATGCATCTCACGAAGGCTGGTTCTAGTTGCAGCCCAGATCCTCCCTTGGTAATGGTGCAGCCTGCATGCCAGAAATGTCTTGTCCATCCTCCCACATTGAACCCTAGTCTGAACAGCATATGTCATTGGCATCCTGCAAAGTGACCTTCCAGCTCTCCAGTAGCTTTTGCCCCCTGTGAGTTACTCACACTGCAAATCATTTTAAAGAGATGAACTCAACTATTTTTTTAATTTAACTTTACTCTTATACCCTCTGATCTTTGTAATCCCCTTGGAAATGAAATGTCTTTCCCTGCAGCCTTTGTAGTCTGTTTGACAACCATTAAACCTTGCCTTGTGTTTCTAATGGAACAGAAGCTAACTTGCCTGTCTGTTTACTACTTTGTGCTCTAGTATCACTGCTGAGGTTAGGGTAAATGTGCCTTGCATTGGAATAGGGCAGCTGTACCACCATCGTCTTTCCTTTAAAATAAACAAAAGATCTTAAGCAAGCAAGACATCCTCACTTCTGGCACTCTTACAGGAGGCAACATTTACTGTTGGTGGAATGTGTTGCTCTTTTTTTAAAGTCTAAATGCTCTTCTGCCTGAGTGCTCAGTAAGACCAACTGGAACAACTGCCTTAATATCACTACTCTAAGTCACTTTTGGTACATCAGTCAGGACATCAAATCCTAAACTGATAGCACCTGATCTCCTTCAATGTAGT